TCCGCCCCCCAGCCGCGCACCTGCCGGAGCCCGGGCGGGACCCCCCTTCCCGGGCCGGCGTCGATGCTGAGCGGGCCGGGGGCACTGCCCACTTCGCCCGCACCATGGACGGCTTCTACGACCAGCAGGTTCCCTTCATGGGCCCCAGGGTAAGTTTGCCCACCGTGATCCCTGTTGATTCCGTCCTCCCTGACCTTGGGGGCACCCCTTACCCTTGGGATTGCCCCCCTTGTCCTTGGGGACACCCCCAGCCTTGGGGGCTGCCACCCTCACGGGCCGCTGTCACCCTGTTCCTTGCAGAAGTCCTGCACAGAGGAGGGCCGAGGACGGCCGGGGTCCGATAGGAAAAGGAAATTTTTGGAGACTGACCTGGCTCATGACTCGGAAGGTAGGCAGGGCTGGCCCGGGCAGCCGTGGCCTCTATGGCCCTGTGAGATCACTTGCCTCGAGCTCGTTGTTTTAGAAATAATCCTGCAAATAATGGCAGTTCTATTTACTCTTCTGTGGAGCGCATAAGTCTTTCACTCTGTTCCAGAGCTCTTCCAGGATCTCAGCCAGCTCCAAGAGGCCTGGCTAGCTGAAGGCAAGTCTTCACCTCCACCTTTTGGCATGTAAAATCTCTCTTTGAGCATCCTTTTGAGAACTGAAAACACCATAAGCCCACTTTTTTGTTTGTTTATTTGTTTTTTTTAGCTCAGGTCCCCGATGATGAACAGTTTGTCCCAGATTTCCAGTCTGACAACTGTAAGTGATTGTTCCGGGTTTTTGTTCTCTGGGGGTAGATGTTTGGGTGCCTGTGCAAACATTTGCACTGGCTTTGGAGTTGCTTCCTTGGGAAAGCAGCAGTTCCCGGGGCTGAAACGTGAAATCATGGGCTTTTGGGACGAAGCATGTGTGGTTTGGGTTCATCGAGGTGAAATGTGCCATGTTCTGTCTTTTGTTAATGGGGAAAATTATGGCCAAATGCATGGAAATATCTCTAAACTGCTCTCTGGGTTCCTCTGAGACGTGATGCCTGTTCGCAGTGAGGTGGATTAGTTAGCTTCTAAATACTCCTTTTCCTTTTCAAGTGGAAGAGATAACCCGTGGTGGGCTGCTTGGTTAGCCACAATCTCTGCAGTTTCTAGAGCTTTTTAGAGTCCTGGCCCAGCACTACTGGCAGGAGCAAGCCTGAGCAGTGAAACTTGAGCCGCTTTAAGCAGCATTAATCACTGGCAAGCGAGCCTCTTTAAAAGGAGGCCAGTGAAAATGCAGTCCCTGGTGAATTGCATAAGAGAGAGAGTTGGTTCTGAGCCGCGCTGTGTTGGGGTTAGTGGCGAGGGCAGGGGCTGGGAAATGGGGTGTGGGGCTTGTGCAGCTCCGGGAGCTGCTCCGGGGCGTCGAAGGGTCGGCTGGAGCAGAACGGGGGCGGAATCAGGATGTTTTGAGTTGTTACCTGGCAAACGCAAGTAGTAGCTTGGTGTCAGTGGCTGGGTTTTGCTGCTGAGCCAGACAGCTACAGAACTCGAAGGAAATCAAATTTAGCCTGCAGTCGAACAGATTTTTCATTCCAGCTTTGTCACAGCATGCAGCGGGGTATCTCCTCCGACAGCAAATGCATGTTAATTATTGCTCTTTAGTTACTTCGGAGTGGGAAACTTGCCATTAAGCTGGTCCAGACAGCCCAAGTTTCAGATGTGTTTTTTCCCCTGTCTCCCCTGAGATGAAAGGCAAGCCCGGAGTCAGAAACACAAGGGTCTGTTGACATCCCCAGCACAGCCCAGCAGCTCTTGCTCGGAGCAGTAGAAACTGCAGTGTGCGTGGGAGGGTGGCTCTTGAAGCTGAAGCTGTTTCCAGTGCCTTTTGGCAGTCTCTTTTTCCTTGTAACCTGAAGAGCTTAGAGAGGAGAGACAAACTTTTCTGGGTGATGCAGGGAAAAAAGAGGAGAAGAAAAAGGCGTTTATTTGGTCAGGACTCTTAAAATGTACTGATCTGCTCGGCCCGTGGACTTGGTGTTGGAACAACTTTGTCACTTGAAAGATCTGCCTGCATGACTCCCTGCAGCAATAACCTTCCTTAACTTTGCTGGGGAGAGAAAGCAAAGGTTTCTCTTGCTACTGCAGTGCTGGCTGTGGGGGGACTCAGACTGAGCAGGGGGGAATGGGAAGCACAGCTCTTGCAACCCGGCACTAGAGAAAGAGTTTCCAAAGGAGAGAAACTCCGGTGTTGAACCGTGTGCCACGTAGAGAGGGAGAGAAGAATGTCTCTGGTGCGGCTGCAGTCTGCATCCTGCTTTCACTAGCAGGGACATGCTGCCTTTCCTGGGCTGGCAGTCACTTTGGACTTCAGCATCCGTTGGCTCCTGGGGAAAGGTAAATCCCTTCTTAGTCCCTGCGGATGTTTGTGGACCCGTGTTGGACTGTGTTTCTGCAGCTGTGTGGCTACACGCCTTTTCCCTGAGGAAACTGCTGCTCTCTTATCCTGAGCAAGCCTCAGTCTTGTGCCCCATCTTGCATTCCCAGGCACAGCAGCAAAAAGGGACAAAGCAAGCTCAGTTTGGACCCCGCTGCAATGGGGAGCATTGCCGCATGTGCCACGTGGAGTCTTGGAGATGTTCAGAACTGCAGCTTCTTTCTTGCCTTGCTAAAACCCCCTCAAAGCTGCCTGCAACTCTGCTGCTGCCCACTCTCTGTTCCCAATTCTGTAGCCAAGATCCCTGGCAGACAGGGTCTTAAAGTTGGGACTTGGTAGCAAAATAATTTGGAGGGCAGTGGTTCACTGTGCTGGGGAGGAAATCCCACTGTAAGGAAAGCAAGGCTACTCCAGATGAGGGATGCATTGTTCTTGGTGCCCTGGACCAAGTGGCAAGAGGCCAGATTTGGTGCTTTTAAGTTGCCCAGGGACGTGGTGGTTCCATCCATGAGAGTGAGGAGGCTGTGGTGACTCCCCAGAGCTCACCATGCTGGCTCTCACACTGCACCGTGGCTGGGCATGGGTGTGAATTCACCAGCCATGTGGCCCTGTGGCCAAGGGTGTACATACAGTGCTATGTTTCCACCGGTTGATTAAGTACCTGGGGAGTGATGGGATCATGCTGAGGAGATCAAACACCACAAGAAGTGATTTTTATTTTTTTCCCAGTGGCCTCCCTGCTCAGGCAGTGCGTGGCAGCAGCCACAGGCAGGGCATGGGAGTTTCTTACACACCAAAATGAAAGAGGGAGGTTTGTTTGTGAGGAAGAGTTGTTTAAACAAAAGAAAGTAAGATCCTGGCTTCTATTTCTGACTCCTCTCCTGCTGTGACCTTGGGTGTGTCCTGTAGCGCTGGGGGATGGAGGGGCAGGCGCAGAGCTCGGCTCCCAGGTGACAGCTTGAGTGGGTGCCAGTGACTCTGGGCTGGGAGTGGTGATTTGGTCGCCTTCCCCTTGCCTCATTCACTGGAAGCCAGTGCTCTCCAAGCTTAGTCTCATGGAGGCCCAGTCATGCTGGTGAATGGGAATAACCTGCCCTGTTCTCCACCAAGGGATTCACTGGGAATTCAAGGCCTCGAGTGGCTTTGTGGTGTCTCCCTTTTCCATGGGAGACATCTGATGGTTGGCATTAGGGGCATTTCAGGTTTGACTGCTTGTATGGCACTGGAGGGTTTGTCTGAGTCTCCCCTACCTCCCCTCCTGGCTGGGCACAGCAGTGACACGTGTGGCTGGTCCCCTGCCCAGCCTCCCCACGGTCCCTCCATCTCTAGAGGCTGGAGCATCCCAGAGGGGCTGTCAGGCACCCATGGGTGTCCTCACTGTTGCTGTGGATCTGCCAACGCATCTTCTCCAGCCCTGTCTGTAGCTGAGCTGCTCCTTCTGAGTGTTTTTATATATTTTTTTAGCTTTTAATTATAGTGCCGAGGGCAGGACCGGAAAGGGTAAAAGTGCTTGTGCACCCAGTGCTCCTTTGAGGTGTTGGGTGCTAGGTCGGGAAAGCTCCTCCAACCTGGCTGCTCGCTGCTTGGACCCAAACCCAGCGTCTTTTCCCCCAGAAACTGCACTGCTGGCCTTGGTGCCCCCCAGACTCCTCCAGCCCCGCTGGCTGTGAGCCTGGCAGAGGAGCACATCACGCTGAGCAGTGCCGGCCGGCCCCGTGGTGTTTGTGCAAGGAATCCAAACGTTGCACGGAGTCCAGGCTTGGACAGCTGGTCTCTGTTAGGATCTTAAGGCTCATTTCCCTTTTTTTTTGAATGGCAGTGCTAAGCTCTGGGGAAATTTTTCCTTTCTTTTTTTTTTTTCCCTCCCTCAGCCACATGAATGGAGCACTACGAAGTGTTAGTGAATGGAGGGTGGTGCCTGCTCAGGGACTGGAGGGTTTTTTTTTTTTGTTGTTTTGTTTTGTTTGGTTTTTTTTTTTTTCCTCTTCAATGAATAACCAGACCCCATTGTACGACTGGTGGAAAAACAACTCGCTCCAACAACACGGAGCCTGTTCGGGAGAGCCGTGCCCGCACTAGGCAGCTGGAACCCTTCCAAAGCCAGTTCCCCTTTGCTTTCCCATGGCTCATGGGGTGCCTGTGCTCTGCCGCCACCGTGCTGTGGCCCCCTTTTAAGGCTGGAAATGCTGAGAGTGGCAAAAGCTCGCTGGGGAGGGGGGAAGGAGGAGTGGGATAAATCCGGCTTGGGAGCGGGTGGAAGGCGTGTGGGGGGGCTGTGCTGGCTCAGCGCTGGGCTTTGTGTTTCAAATCCTTCTCCTAGGAGGGGTTTGTGCCCTTGGTACCAGCTGTACTGAGGCCGTTCGAGGGGGGATGGGTAGAAAGGGGAGTCAGCAGCTCTTTAAAGGTTTTGACAAATTAGGGGAGCAGCTAATTACCTGGCAAGCTGTGAACAGTTGTCCTGGAGCTATTTGCTCCTCTCCAGTGTAGCTGGGCTGTGTTTAGACTTCGCATGAAGCTAATACTCCACTTCCGATTAGTCTTGGCTCTCCTCTGAGGCACTATTTAGGTACAGATCTCTGAGGCGCTTTCCCTTTCCTAGGGCGCCTGCTTTTAGAAATTAATTAGCTTAAGTGTATATTACTCAGTTTATAATTATATATAGCAAGTGAGCTTGGGAGTGGGTGGAGAGGATTTGGGTTTAATGGGATGTTTGTCACTTGAACTCGTACAATTGTGGGACCCTAGGACTAGATCCCATTGGGCCACCTTGGCTATGGGAAAGTGGATCCCACTTAAAAACTCTGGAAGTGGGCATGGCCCTGTGGGGGTGAGTGGGTTGCTGTTATGAGGTCTTGGAGCTCCAGTCTGTCAAGCCCCTTCACCCCCTGCTCCATGTCTCAGGGAGGCAGCCACTGGTACCTGGGCTCTGTTCTGTCGCTGAGGAGCTGGTGGACAGCACATGTCTCATCTAAGGCTGCTGTCGAGCTACCTGTGCCCCTCTCACAGCCCTTGCTCTGGCCCTCTTGGATCCCAGACAGGAGCCATTCCCCTTCTGAGAACAATCTCCTGGGCTGCTGTATCTGTCCCCACTCTGCCCTCCCCTGCCTCACTTCTGCACCAGTGTTGGGGTCTGGCAGGGCACCGTATGACCCTGGTTCAGCTGCTGAGTGCTCCCAGGGCATAATTCAGCACCTTATTCCCAAGCGAAGAGCCGATGCTTGCAGTGGTGATGTTGCCATCTCCCCTTTGGGTGAGCCTGTGTCCTCCTCGGTGTCCTTGCAGTGGTTCTGCACGCCCCACCTCCGGCAAAGATCAAGCGGGAGCTGCCCAGCCCGTCCTCGGAGCTGTCATCCTGCAGCCACGAGCAGGCTCTCTGTGCCAGCTATGGGGACAAGTGCCTCTACAATTGCTGGTAGGTAGCGGGGGGACACTGCTGCCTGCAGAGCCCCTCAGGGACTCTGCGCCACGCGGTGCTGTCCCCGTCGGTGTCACCACCGTCAGCCCATGGCCCGTCTCCCCCGGCAGTGCCTACGACAGGAAACCCCCCGCCGGGTTCAAG